TTTACGATGCAGCTGAAAGAGCAAGATGGCCCGGAAATATTTCACTCTTCTAAGAAAGCTGGTTGTGCCTTTAGTGTCTGCTGCCTCCCTAGTGCTCGGTCACCACTCAGCCACTACACTGGGGGCATCTCAGGGACCACCAGGACCACCCACCACTGCTGTGCCCCTTGCAGATCATAGGACCTTGCCCAGTATGCCTTGCACCTACCATGACCCCCAGGACCCCAGCTTGAGTATGCCGGCAGGGAGGAGGCGTGTCCCCTATAGTCCCTGATGGAAATATAAAAATGAGGACCAGGAATGTAGCCCAGTGCTAGAGCACTTGCCTTGTACCGCCTGAACCACTAGGATGGATTTCCCGTACCACAATAAATAAATGTGCAAATAAAAATACACACACACACACACTCCTGTGTGCCGGCAGTGCAGTCTTTGTAACATATTTAAAATTTTTTTTTAAATTAATTGTTGTATATGATGTGAGAGCGGGTGTGTGGGCACATGAGTGTGATGGTGCATGTCTGGGACAGCCCCCAGGGAGTCACTTCTCTCCCTCCAGCGCGTTGAAGAAGGCTCGCTCCTGTTTCTGACATGCCTCTTGCTCCAGGCTAACTGGCCGGTGCCCCTCTCGGCCTCCCACCTCGCTGCAGGGGTGTTGCAGCTACAGAGGCACACCACCAGCTCTTTTGTGTGGGTTCTGGGGCGGCGAACTCAGGTTGCCAGGCTGGCGCTTGCCGAGCCACCACACTGTCTGCTTCGTAATATTCTCCAAGCAGTGGTTTGGGGTCAGAGGTTTCTCCTGTGCGAAAATCTGACTGATGTGTATGGAGTCTCATTTGTGGCTAAGGTCCCTGTACCGGCCTGGAGTTGCCCAAGCCAAGTTTATATTTCTTTAAATAGGGACTCATCATGTGGCCCTGAATGCACTGTGGAGTCCAGGAAGATCTTGAACTCATGATCCTCCTGCCTGACCCCTCCAAGGGCTGAAGCTACAGATAGGTGCTACCACACCCGGCCTGGTTTAATTTCCTTAGTTTCCCCTCATACAGCCTTTCCCTTTACTTTTAATTTCTTGTGTAAGTTAATCTGAAGTTGCATGGATTTCCTGAGACAAGGTATCCTACCTGAGGTGAGCAGGCATTTCTTGGACAGACAACAAAACAATTCTAAGTCTGCTCAAGCTGAGCTCAGTGAGCCACTGAGTTTACTGAGGTTACTCTCGGGAACACGGCTGAATAAAAGGCAGCTGCACCCCTGCAAGGTCCACCCCAGCGTGAGCAGCAGCTCACAGAACTGTACCTCTGGGACCCCAAGCACAACTTGTAGGCAGTTCCACTGAAGAGACTCCCCTCCACAGCAAGAGCTTGCCGCTTCTAGATCCCCAGGATGGCCCTCTGGAGCTGTCATTTTCTTGTGAGTGCCTTGGGCATCTCCCCTTCCCTCCCAAGGTGATTTTTCAACTGGGAGGACATGGCTACTCAGTTATTTGTAGCACAAGGACCCTTGCATTAAGTCCTTATTAAAAAAAACACTATTTTCCTATTACTATAACAAAAAAATACATGGAAGTGTATGTTAGTGTGCTTTTTAAAACTTCTATTTACATTTCTTACGCCTCTGCCTCCCTTCTCCACCCCAGTCCCTTCCAACACCAGGTAGGAGAGAAACAAGGTTAGTGGGGAGAGGGGCTGTAGTTCTCTTTAGCTACTTCCTGCTGGTCAGGGTCTTTGGGTTCCTTGGGGGCAAGTCCAATCTCCATTTCAGGATGTCTCCAACTCCTTCTTGTCAAACTGCAACAACAGCAACCAGGAGCAGCGGGGTTGGAGGTGGGAGGAAGCACCAGCAGCCTTCTTTCTCGGAGCCCCTTCCTCTCTCTGGGCTCTGGCATTTATTCCCTTCCCCAGAGTGCTCAGAATTAAACTATCCTGCAGCTGGCCAAGAGCCCCTCTCAGAGCCCACACAAGGCAAATGGTCTGCTGCTGTGGACAATGTGAATCAGCCCCACATCCCACACCTGGGATTAAAACAAAAACATGTTTGTAATAACATAACAGGTTTTAAAGACACCAAAACTGCTACTACAAGTGTATGTGAGGGCTAGGGGTTGATGGAAGGAGGCTTCCTCAATAGCCTTTTTTTTTTTTTTTTTTTTTTTTTTAAATACAAAATCTTTTCTTGAACCTGGAGCTATCAGTTCTGCTAGGCCAAGTGACCAGTAAGCTCCGGTGATCCCCTGTCTTTGCCTTCTAAACCTTAGGGTTACAAGTGCGTGCTGCTGTGCCCTTTTGTTTTATTTGGTTTGGTTTGATTTGGGTTGGGGGGTTGTTAGTTTGGGGTTTTGTTTTGTTCTTTTATTCGTTTCTTTGTTTCTGTTTTTGTTTTGTGACTATGTCATGCTATGTGTAGTGTTGGCTGGCCTGGAACTCTCTGTGTAGACCAGGCTGGCCTCAAATTCCTAGAGATCCAGCCTCCCAGGTACTATGATTTAAGATGCACACCAACACACCTAGCTCAGAGCGGCAGGCACTTTAACAACTGAACCATGCCCTCTCCCCTTTGTTTTTGTGTTTGCTTTGAGACAAGGTCTTCCTGTATTGATCAGACTGGCCCCAAGTTCCCAGGCTTGAGCCATCCTTCTTGCTCAGTCTCCCAAGTAGACTACACAGCTATGTACCAGTGTGAAAACATCACCAATCTGAAGCAAAAGATGGGCAAGCTGGGGGTGGTCCAAACCACTTGCTGTCAGTAAGTGGTAAATTGCTAGGACTTTGCCAAACACTGCCAGTGTCTGAGGGACCTAGAAGAACCAGTTCCTTAGCTAAATCACTGATTACAGAAGCAAAGGCAGGGCCAAAGGGTCAGAGGCCCCTGGACAGGTCATCTGTTCGGGCAGCTGATGATTATCAACAGTGAGTCCAGTGCAGCAGCAGATCATGCTCAGGAAGTGTTTAAACTGAGCCACAGCTGAAGGGCCAGGATGTGTTGTTGTTAGAATGCTGGATGCCACTCAGAGTCCCCCAGTCTACAAAAGGCCCTAGGGCCGGGTTAGGGGTAATAAATCTGAAAGGGAGGACAGCTCCTGACATCAGAAATGGGTATAGTTTTGAACCCCTAGTTTCTGGTTCTGGCCTTAGGGGATGATCTGTCCATGTTTGGAAGAGGTTGTTGGGACTAACTTAAAGGAAGTCTCTCCTTACATAGTTCAGTCATTGGAATGTGTGGCCCCTAGAACTGCCACGCCCCCAAAGTAAAGAAAGCAGCTACAAGATAGATTTAGAAGACGTAAAAGAAAACACATAAATTACCGTAATCTGGGTTACCAGGGGCCAGTCAGATGGCTCCGAGGGTAAAAGCATTGGCTGCACACTGAGCTGAGTTTGAGTCTCCAGACCAGTTAAGCTGGGGGGGAGAGAGCTGACTCCACAGAGTTGTCCTCTGCACCAACACACACATGCATTCATACACTGGCTTCCAGGATGCCCAAGATCTGAGGATGCTCAAATCCCTTCAATAAACAGCACAATATTTGCAAATGTGGGTAGGGTGCTTGTCTGACACGTAGGAAGCCCTGGATCTGGGTCCTCGCACCACATAAACTGGGCATGGTGGTGCACACACGCCTGTAATCGTGGCAGCAGGGATTAGAGCGCTGTCTCGACAAGCCAAGCTGCAGAAGGATTGCCTGCAGCCACAGAGGTTAGAGCTTACTCTCCGGCAGAGCCCATGCCGGAGCCAAACCCAGCCAACACCTCCCCAAGTTGACAGAACAAATTTCTCCTGTTTTAAACCACTCAGTTTAGGGTTCTTTATTTAGGCAGGTCCTTAGGAGGGCTGACTCACACCCATCAAGTTCTTGGTCACCTCAGGATCTTTGCACTTACGCTCCTCCCCTCCTGAGCCCAGATTTTTTCATAGCTTGCTCTGTCTTGTTACTCCTGGCTCAACTCAATGTCACTTCCTCCTGGAGGCCTGCCCAGCCATCCCCACCCCAGTCCTGCCCACTGTCATGCTTGACTGTTTTCATAACAATAGTGTTTCATCCGTGTCTTTCCTTCATTACTGTCCGGCCCCCGTCTTTAATGTGAAGTCAATGAGAAGACCATCTATCCACCTTGGCCCTGGCTGTGTCGCCACCACCCAGAACAGTGTCTGGCACACATCAAAACCGGACAAATGGATGGAAGCTGCTGACTTCAAGCGCGGGAGGACTGGGAGTTTTACCAGCAGGCTCCCTGTGACTCATGCATCCAGACTGGGGAAATCCTGTTCAGCTCCAGGCTCCTGTCTGTCATCTGCCAGAAGGCGGCCCCTGCTTTTAAATTCCCACCTCTAGGAGCTGACTGTAATGGACAGTAAACTGAGAACATTTTAACTCAAGACCTTCCATCTGTCCACCCAGGGCTGAGAAATCTGAGCGTCTGAATTCTTAATCTGCATCCAGCTCAGGAGGGAAAAGTGAGTCTCATCTTGCCAAAGGATCAAGGAGGGACAGAAAATGGAAATGAAAGGACATCAGAAACTTGTTTCTCAACTGGCAGACTCAAACCTGTACATCTCCTTTCCGCCTCTGGACTAGGAACTGAAACCATTCCTTAGGAAGCTCACCTTCCCCTTCCTGGGGGTGGAGAAAAAAATCCCACTCCAGTCTGATTCTTTTCTTTTCTTTTCTTTTTAATATACAGCTATTTATAGCAATGCCCGCCAAACTGTGAAGAGAAAAGCTCCTCAGCAAACTCTGAAACAGCCTTCCCAAATGCAGCTGCGTCCCATATTCCCCACACGTCCCCGGAGCGGCCCCATGATGGAGCTCCGTGCCCTCCCATGCTTTGCAGCGCACTGGGTTTTTCTGCTAGGATGCAGTTCATAACCCAGACAGGTCTTAAGTAAGAAGACCGTTTCTGTGAACCCTAACCCAGACGAATGACACAGCAGACTGCCTCCTGCCGAAATTTATTGAAATGGTAGATGTTAAGTACAGAAACACAAGCGATGAACCGGGAGGAACTCCCCTGCCTCCTTTACCCGTGGACACATTTAAACCCCTTAATAAGAAAAGCAGGCAGGAGGGAAGCAGCTGCTCTCCCCGAAGCCTTTGAACTGCTCAGCTGAATTTCTTGCTGATTTGTCTGATTCCCTCCAACACTGTTAGTTCAGTCCCTCCTAGGGCTGTCCCCTTCTTACCATTATTGGAGACTCAGAGAACAATCAGATCTCCCCACCTCCTCGATTCCTGCTAAAGATTGCCTGAGAAGTGAATCGGTTCCCCAGGACACAAGTGACCCACTGGCTTTTCAGTGACACCTGGGCAGAGATCCTCTCCAGTTTCTTGGCTCTCCTTGTCCTCACGGGGGCCCACCGACAGGCTAGGTAGGACCCTAGGGGTGAAAGAGCATCTGAGGCTTTGAGCCGCCTGAGGAAGGACACCAGCCAGCCATAGACAGGTGCGGATGGACCTGTCTGGGCTCAGACTCTGCAGGACTCCTTAGCTCTGTAGGCTTGGGAGGCTAAGAAGTTTCCGCTGTCTGGAAACTGCTTTCTGTTCCTCTGAGATTTCTACGGCCACCTGAATCTTGCAACCAAGCCGCCAACTGCACCACGCTGTTTCTCTAAATCCGATTCTCTGAATCTGGAAGTTCCAAGAAAGCGTAAGCCAAGTCTGATGATGTTACTCTGTGCAACGGCCAAATTGTCTCTCCAGAGAGCTTAGGCCTGAGTGGCAATCTCCCTTCTTGGCATAGTGACTTAATGAGACCTGGAGGCCAGATAAGAGGGACTGCATGGCTCCCTGGCATCGGCCATTAACGCCCCTGGAATGCTTCTGGTGGTGCTGGGATCCCCCGTGAGCTCCACGCTTGTGCTCCGGTTGTTATCTGCTTCGCCCATTGTTTTCTTTCGAAGGCAGCGGTTGATGCATGTGGCGAAGAAGTTGGGGAAAGATGGGCTGGAGAAGTAGTAGACCACTGGGTCCAGCATGCTGTTCATGTAGGTAAAGCTGAGCGTGGTGAAGAAGGCCAGGTCCACCGAGGAGTAGATCTCACACTTCCGAACGTTGTGTTTGTAGAGGAGCCAGAAGATGCGGATCCGCACGGCCACGCTGGGCAGGAAGCAGATAATGAAGACGATGGCCACCACCAGGATGAAGTTGATAGCCCTCTTGATCTTGGCATGTCTGTCCATTTGTCTCTGCCGTAGGCTCCAGATGATTCTGGCCGAGCAGAACACGATGATGCCCAGGGGCAAGAAGAATTCCAGAAGGAACATTGCGTCATGCCACCTGAAGGTGTAACAGATGCTGAAGCTGCTACACAGATTTGCGTTGCCGTTTTTGGTCATCATGTTCGTGTATAGGAGGTGGACGGTCAGGCCGATGGTGACGCCCCACAAGAAGCAAGAGATGATGGCCGCCGTCCGGTTGGAGATCTTGTTGAGGGAGTGGTGGGGATGGACTACCCGGAAGTACCGGTCCACAGCCACCACGGTGAGGAAGATGATGCTACCCTGTCGGTTCATGGCCAGCATGAAGAGCATCAGACGGCAGGGGATGTCTCCAAACCTCCAGTCCCATCTTTGGACATAGTTGTCCGTCAGGAAGGGCAAGCAGATAATCAGGAGGAAGTCAGCCACAGCCAAGTTGAACAAGAAAATCCGGCTGGATTTCCAGGACTTGAGATGGAAACAGAAAATCCAGAGGGCAAGGCCATTGCCCAGGAGTCCGAACACAAACTCCAGCCCCAGCACCGGCGGCAAGACTTTGGCAATGTTTTCATCCCTGAATACACAGCAGTTCTTGCCGTTGATCACCAGAAGATGGTTCTGCTTGCTCATGAGTGAATCTGGTTAGTCCGCCCCGAGCTCCTCACCTAGCCAAGGCTCAAGGCAAGTGTGTGTCTTGTGTGGTGAGCGGGTGGTTCAGCCTCAGCTTTATGTCATGTCAGGGTGTTGAAAGAGATGACTGAATGGTTACCAGGAAACTACGAAATCGTTTGGGGAAAAAAAAAAAAAGCTAGCAAGGCTCTTGTGCAACTTGCTGTTTTCATAAACAAGTAATAAAAAAAAAAAATCCCCTGGGCAGACGGGAACCCACAATTTTTTTTTTTTTTCTAAATGTACAGGATAAGTTTAGGCAAGCAGACTGTCAATTGTGAGTGAGTGAATGGGGGCATTCCTTCCGAAGGCTGCATGCACACACAATGATTAGCTAATTGGCCTTGGAGAATTCATCCACTGCCATTCGCTTGGCTTACATAATTAATATGTTAACAATGGCGGCAATCATTGTTACTGAATGCACAATGAGGCTTTCCAGAAGCAGTAAGAATTTATGTGAAATTTTACTATGGGTATACAGGTCCCCTCCCCCCTTCCTGTTTCCTTTCGAGGATTTACTTTTATTTTTAATTATGTGCACGCTTGTGTGTCTGTGTGGGTATGTGCATGTAAGTGCAGGTGCACCCAGAGGCTGCTGGATGCCCTGGAGCTGGGGCTGTAGGCAGTAGGGAGCCACCCGGTGAGGATGCAGGGAGCTGAACTCCATCTCCCTGCTTCTGCCTCCCAGGTGCAGGGACTGCAGACATGGCTGGCTGTGTGAGAGTTGTAAAAATAGATCTGGGTTTTTAAGCCCCCAGGTGTTGCACTCTGCCTTGCAGAAAGACAACAATTTCTTACAGAGTATCTGCCATTGAATATTTTGGCATTATATATATATATACACATACGTATATATACATATATACACATATATACATATGTGTGTGTGCAAAAGGTTTTGTTGTTCTACTCTGAGTTAGAATTTGGAAATTTATTCCTTATAGTACCAAAATCTTCAATGGCGTGTGACAGAGCTTTGTAGACTAGGCTTAGGGTGACCCAGCTTTGGATCCTATAGGATTACGGACACTTCATGAAAACGGTGATAATGAAGATGAGAGTTTTGAGACCGATAGTTCCCCCACTGCGCTTTCCAATGTGCCAGACTCTAGGCCTTGAAGATTTATTTATATTTTAGTATTTGTTTGTTTGTTTTTGAGACAGGGTTTCTCTGTGTAGCCCTGGCTGTCCTGGAACTCACTATGTAGACCAGGCTGGCCTCAGACTCACAGAGATCTCCCTGCCTGTGTCTCCCAAGCGCTGGGACTAAAGGTGTGCAGCACCACACCCAGCCAATTTGTTTTTTAACGTGTGTGAGTGTTTGCTTGCTGGTGCCAGAATGTTATGTGTGCCACAGTTGCAGTATCCAAAGAGGCCGTAAGAGGGCGTCACATCTAGACTTACAAACGCTCTCGAGCCAACTTGTGGGCGTTGAAAAACAGAGCCCTGGTCCTCTGCAAGAGCAGCCAGTGTTCTTAAAAGATGAGCCATTTCTCCAGCCCTCCATGCTTTAAATATATCATCTTGTCTTATCCTCTGTAGCCCATGGTTCCAAAACGCTTGTTGACTGTGATTTCCAAATGAGGCAAATGACGCCCCGCCCAGAGAGTAGTGTGCCCGAGATAACCCAGCGGAGCTTGGATTGGAATCTGACTGATCTCCAGAGCTCTGTTTCGACTCATTGTGATACACTACTTTTTAAACTTGTTTTATTCATTGGAAAATTTTAACTACATTCATGTATTTGGGAAAGGAGACACACACACAGAGGTCAGAGGGCTGCCTAAAATAGTCGGTTCTCTATTACCTGGGTGTTGGCTGAATTCAGACTGTCAGTCTTGGCAGCAAGCACCTCTACAAAATACACCATCTTGCCAAATGTTACTGTACTTTTAAAAAGGCTTTTAAAAACATTTTAAAAATTGTGTGTGTGTGTGTGTGTATGTAGATACACACACGGGAGTAGGGCAGGTGCCCTCAGAAACCAGCAGGAGGTGTCAGGTTCCCTAAGGCAGCAGGCACGGGTGGGTCTGAGTCCCTTGATATGGGTGTCAGGAACTGAGCTCAAGTCCTCTGCAAGGGCAGGCACTCTTACCTGGCCGTCTCCCCAGACCCTTAAACAGCATCTCCCTGAGCCCAGGCTGGGCTCCAGCTGGCTGTGCTGCCTGCTCCTCCTGAGTGCTGGGATTATGGGCCTGGAACATCAAGCCAGACCACTCCTCCCTCTCCTGCAACTGCCCTGAGCCTTCGATGACACTCCCACTTGCTTGCCTGGCTACTTGTGGAACATAAAGCCCCACCCCACCTCCCCCACCCCTACTCCCCAGCCCCCCTCCCATGTTTTGAGCACTTGGTCCCCATCAGCTGACACTGTCCTGGAGCCTGAGAACTGAGGATGGTAGCTGGTAGAGACAGATCCCTAGGGACAGGGCCTGGAAGGCTGAGGCCTGCGCTGCACTCTGCCACCACAGATTGAGGGGCTGGTGACGTCCTGCTGCTCTAGGTCACCATGACCTGGGGATGCTTACGCCAAAACAGACCTCTTCGTTCTTAGTTGTTTCTGTCAGGTACTTGGTCACAGAAGACTCAGGCAAGAGCTGTGAATTCATCCCACAGGGCCTGGTGAACTAAGAGAGAAGCGGCCAGCCCTAATTATTGCCAGCATCCAGAATCCAAAGGGGAATCTCCTTCCTGAGTTAGCATCCTATAAATGTGAGCTCACACACGCACACGAGGGTGCACTCGCCTGCGCGTGCTCGAAGGCGTGTGGTGACCGAACGCTGACGTTGAGCGGCTGCTTGAGTCAGGGTCTCTTACTAAATTCAGAATTCACTGTCTGGCCAGCAAATTCCTAGGAACCACCTGTCTTGATCCCCACTGGCCAGCGCTGGGGCTACAGACATGCACCACCATGCACAACTTCATACATGGGATCTGAACTCAGATGAAGTGTTTGCATAGCAAGCGCTTTACCCACTGATCCATCCTACCAGCTCCCCCAACCCCTTTAAAATTAAAAAAAAAAAAAATTTTTTTTTAAAACCTTAAACCTGGGATCCAGTAATCCCAGTCCTTAAAAGACATAGGCAGAGCTGGGAGTGGTGACAAACACTTTTAATCCCAGCACCCAGGAGGCAGAGACAGGCAGATCTCTGTGAGTTCAAGGCCAGCCTGGTCCACATAGTAAGTTCCAGGGCAGCCAGGGCTACACAGAAAGACCCTGTCTCGAAAGACCAAGAGAGACAGAAACAGAAAGTTCAAGAATTCAAGGCGAGCTTGAGCTACATGAGGCAGGGTCTCAAGACAAACAAAAGCAAACAAACTAACAATAACAACAAGAAAAAAAAAAGTAGCCATTGTAATGGTTAGCTTTAATTGTTAATTTAACGTGACCAGATCATTTGGGAAGTTTCCAACGAGGGGACTGACTACATTGGGTTTGCCTGGGGGTGTATCTGTAGGGGATGGTCCTCATTAAGTTAACTGATGTAGAAAGGTCCAGCTCACCACGGGCAGCACCTTTTCCCGGGCAGAGGATCCTGAACTGTGTAAGAGTGGAGAAACTGAGCTGGGCATAACGTGAGCGGGAGGACAAGCTTGCATGCATTCATCTCTTTCTGCTCTCCAGAGTGGATGTAATGTAACCAGAAGCCTCCACTTCCTACCTTGACTTCCCCACGATAGCGGAAAGGAATGCCAAACTGAAACAAACCCCTTTTTAGCCCTTTATGCTGCTGCTTTCTGTCAGCGTATTTTCTCACAGTACACAGAAATGAAACCAGACAGTCATGGGTAATTATTTCTTTTCTTTTTTTTTTTTTTTTTGAGACTGGGTTTCTCTTCGTAGCCCTGGAACTCCCACAGTAGACCAGGCTGACCTTAAACTTAGAGATCCACCTGCTTCTGCCACCTGAGTACTGGGTTTAACGTGGGCCTTGAGCACCACCACTTCAGCCTGGCCTACACAAATAAAATTAGAGTAACAACATCCCTTAAGTTTGCAAAAGGAGAAAAGCTGGCTTCTAATTCTAGCTCCACCCTTAGTGGGCTGTGAAGCCCCTCACTTGCCCCTCAGCTTCCTCCTGTGGAAACTGAGGAACCAGGTGAGACCCTGCCCCTGCCCACCCACCCTTACAATGCTCACATTCAGAGTGTCTAAACAGGAAGTTTGGAGCTACTCAGAGGGTGCCAGGACCGGGTATGGAATTTCCAGTCTTCCCACCTCTGGAGGGCACGCCTTGTCTTGTGCTGCTCTTTTCTGAATTTTTTTTTTTTTCTTACTGGTGCATGAGCTGTACAGAAACTTGTTGCGACTGATCACTTACAGAGTCAGGCAGTGACCCTGACTGCAGTCTGGTGGAAAGGAGATTATGCTCGTAAGTATGACTCTCACAGCCAGCGTGAGCCTCTCTGCTGGGTGGGACATCTTGAAGATGTGCCACGGTACGCACAGAAGTCGCTATCAATTAATTTTTCAGACAAGGAGGGTCTCAATTGTTGCCCAGGCTAACCTTGAGCCCCTGGGTCAAAGGATTCTCCTTCCTCGGCCCTCTGAGTAACTAGGACTACAGCTCTTTGCCACTGCACCCAGCGAACAGTTTTAAAATGTTTGACAGGGTGTGGTGGTGTATGCCTGTGAGCCCAGAACCCAGGAAGCAAGGAGAGGAAGGACGATGATCGCAAGTTCATAGCCATCCTGGTCTATAGGGTCAATTTCAGGCCAGCCAGGAAGGCTGTATGGACCCTCTCTTAAAAAACAGACAACCAGCGGGCTGGAGAGGTGATGGCTCAGTGGTTAAGAACACTGACTGCTTTTCTGAAGGACCCTGACTCAGTTCCCAGCACTCACATGGCAGCTCACAACTCCCTGTAACTCCATCCCCAGGGGACCCTCACACAGACATACATGCAGGTAAAACACCAATGCACATAAAACAAAACAAAGATTCACTAATTAA